GAGTGTCCCACAAGAGTGTCCCACAAGAGTGTCCTACAAGAGTGTCCCACAAGAGTGTCCTATAAGAATGTCCCACGAGAGTTTGCTACACGAGTGACCCACAAGAGTGCCCAAAAAGAGTGCCCCGCCAGAGTTTCCTACAAGAGTGACCCACAAGAGTGTCCTACAAGAGTGTTCCACAAGAGTGTCCTACAAGAGTGTCCCACAAGAGTGTCCCACAAGAGTGTCCTATAAGAGTGACCCACAAGAGTGTCCTACAAGAGTGTTCCACAAGAGTGTCCTACAAGAGTGTCCCACAAGAGTGTCCCACAAGAGTGTCCCACAAGAGTGTCCCACAAGAGTGTCATATAAGAGTGTCCACAAGAGTGCCCCACAAGAGTGTCCCACAAGAGTGTCCCGCAAGAGTGTCCCACAAGAGTTTCCTACAAGAGTGACTCACAAGAGTGTCCCACAAGAGTGTCATTTGCATATATGTAGCTTTTCGAACGTGTTTGCACTCGGGTTCGTGGGCTCCATCTTGTTTTATCGGGTTCTGTTGATGCCTGAACGCGAAGCAAAAGACAGCGTCAAGTCAGAAAACCCGGAGACTGGCGCAAACTCAAGTTTTCATTGAAGCCCACCAGTTTTTTCGAGCAAGGGCCACAGGTTTTCCTCAAGACGGTCCTCTGAGCGACTTTTGTTTGCAAGGGACCTCCGCGCACAGAGTGCCAACCAGTCCGTGGTCAGACTGGAACGCTCGGGCAGATGAGGCCAAACTAATTCTACCGGCTAGTTTTTGGTGAGCACAGGCGTGACAGCTATTATTTCTTCCCGGTCCCAGCTATTGCCTTTCACCTTCTTTTTCATGCCACAATAACCAGCGCATAATTGTAATGTTTCACTCGGGAAGGTTTCATTTGGGCGCTTGCGCCATACGCGCTCGTATTGAGATTTGCCACCGGGACCGGGACTGCAAATCAGGCAGAACGGCGGCAAAACATTGATGCCACGGTCGGCCACCGCCCTTGCACAGTGCAGCCTGTCAAACATGAGTAACATAAGCGTAAACGTGTTTGTACGCCGCGTGCCTGCCAGGACGAGCCGTTATATAGTTGCGGGGTTTTGATGCAGATTGCTGCCCAGCTCCATCTCCCGCACCGTTTGCAACAGTGTTCATGGTTAGCGCGGATGGCAACCTTTCGGACCAACGAGTGCAAGGATTGAGGCCCAACCACGTCTTGACAGGAGCAGAGTTGGTATTGGCGCACGGCCAAGGAACCTTTTCTCGGTGGCAACCGAGGTTGTCATCTGCTAAGAAACAGCAATCGCGGCGGGGTTTGCGAATACCTTTTGCCTCTGTGCCGACGGCAAACTCAAAGTGTGGTGCGAGGACAAAAGTAATCAAAGCAGCGCCGCCACTACAACGCGGCGGTCCTGACCAGGGCATATGCTCATGGCCATGGTGTGCTGGCGCGTAGCTCTTCAGAGAGTCCTTTCCACGATGATGTCCCGGGCTCTTTCCTCACGGCCAGAAGGACTCACCACTTTTTCAGGCCAGGCAATTTCACGTGGCATGCGGATTGCGGACCACATTGCGAGGCACAATGTGGCGCCGTACCTAACCAGCATTCCAGAGAACAATGGTGTATATAACAGCATTGAATTTTTGAGTTGACTCACGGGCACCGCCTGGCATGCATTGAGGCGAACTAGGTGCAAAACACCTCGCGCAAAGTAGGCCACTGCTAAAAACATTGTGTCCAGTGCCGACGAGGCGAGGTCCTGCCCACTTTTCTTTGTGGATCCTCTTTAAGGCCGGAACTTGATGAAACCTAACGCAAACTATTTGCAGACAACATTGCCTTGCCATCCCAGGTCCAACTGAAGCTTTTCTGGGATTTCATCCGCGTACAGACTGATGAACACATTACCCAATGAAATTCACCGTCCTCTGATGGAAACAAATCCCAATAGGACACCATCAACCATAGAGTTGTTGCATCAAGCTCTCGAGTATTTGGCACTCGGAGGTAAGGAAGACAAAAGGTCTTTACTAGAGTTCATTCGCAAGCCGGGGGGTAGCTTTGAAACGGGAGTGACTGCAAAGCTCGGTTGCGCTTGTGGAGACCAGCCCGCAGCCGTTTGACATGTTTGTGGTTGCCTCAGCCTTCTCTACCAGAAATGATCCCTGCGTTGAAGATGTTCTAGCAAGTGTAGAGAGGCATTACGAAGGCTTTCGATTTGGCTTGCAACATGTGAAATTGTCAGCAGATGTGCGTCAACCCACTGAGCCTCGAGTGCAAAACTTCGAGCACAAGGCAGAGTAAGAACTTTTGCTCCTCGAAAAGGATGAGCGAATTCGACTGGCAGGAAATGCTGCTAGTGCTGAATTTCGCGCCCTGATGTGACCAAACTATGCCATTTCTTCAACTGCCCGGAAAGTTGTGTCAGGCAAAACTGCCCATACATGCACGCAAGCAAAGAGAGCAAGCCAGACACTGCGAAGCCTGACCCGAAAGCAAAACCGAAACCCAAAGCTAAGCCATCTCCCAGACGAACGACTGATGCTTCAGACCCTAAAGGTAAAGGGAAAGAAAGCAAAGGGGAAGGTAAAGGAAAAAACACGCCAAAGGGCAAGCAGGCAAATGTTGCAGAGTCTTCCAGTCCTCCTGCAGTTGAAGTCCTTGATGCAACGGTTTGCGCAACTGAGAACATGCAGACTTTGTTGAACAAATGGTGAGGCCATGCTCTTCCACTGCGCGCGCTGAACTCCGTTCCAGTGTGACACTGTGTCAACCAATGTGACCCTCCCAAACGGTGAGCAACAGAAAGGCTGGAAAACAAGTAGCAGTGAAGTGGTCCGTCCTCGACAGATGTGCGGACGTGCCAGTTCCCCCAGCCGACAGTAAGTAGGTTAGTGCAGGAACTTTGGTATCAGGTAGATTGGCGTCACGATGGTGTTGAGCTGGCGTCACTTCATGTTTGTATTAGCAAGTGCATAGGACCAGGTTGTCCGAGAACCGTGCTAGACTTCGTGCCCACTTCCAAGTCAAGAGTTGGTACCTGGCACAAACTCATGGTACAAATCACTAGCCTTTTCGGCCATTGTCCTAGACTCCGTCACTGAGTGCATTTCTCGAGCCTTACCTAGAATTAGCTTCCAATGTTCCAGCTCGCCACTGGCTGCAAAAGCACGGGGCCCCAATTTTTGCAACCAAAGGACCGAGCGCTCACAATTTTTCCAAATCTATTTTTACTGCTCACATGTCACGAAAGGTAGCCCTGGACGGGATATCTGGAGTTTGTTTGGCGAAGCAAGTGTGGGCGGGCTCCTCCGGATCTAATAACTGATAGCTCACCCCTCCCCCTCCCCCCCTTGGAGTTGATTTTTCAATATAGACGCACCCTCCTTACTATTCATTTTTGAACTCAGACCCTTCTCCCCTCCCCCTCTGACCGCTTCATCCCGAAGTGGGTCGCCTCGACACCTCGTATTCGGTGTCGTTCTGACTGCTTCATCCCGAAGTGGGTCACCTCGACACCTCGATGGTTATTTGGTGTTGAGCACTTGAAACTTGGGGCAGTGATTGAATCCATGCAAAGACATGATATGTTGTTTTTGGTACACCTTGTCGTTGAGGATTATCATTGTATATATCGAACTTTGGTCACTTCCCCCGTTTTCAAGGTGACGTTTGATTCGACCCCACCAACACATTGCATATTTTACATGCTTATTTTCCTCCCGCTGTCCTACCTTTCGTGTATCCCTCTTCTCAAGTTCGGGACACTGGCGCCAATATTACCAATCACTCGTGGCAGGCTGCGGTCACGACATGTGTGTGCACCTATCAAAGATTGAGTGGGCATGTGCATCAGGCCTGTGTTGCTTGTGCGGCCTGCCTGACTTATGCTGACTTGCGGCCAATGAGATGTGAGGGCAGGCTTTGTTGGACAAAGTGCGTGCGATTTTGATTTTCGAATGGAAGGCGCAGCTGCTGACAAAGTTGTTTCAGGTGGAGGAGTCTGATTTCGACTTGTGGTTGCCAATGGAAATGGAGGCAATTCTGGCGGGCCGCATGACGCCACCTCGAGACTTGGAGGCAGGCGATGCGGTTTTACTTTGTGACCTAGGTGTTGCAAGATGTGCAGCATGCAACATGTCAACCCTCATACCAACTGGATCTGTAAAGCATGTCATGGAGTGACCGCAGCCAGGCGTGCAAATGTTCTACTTCGGGTTGTCCGCTTGAGCATTGCTCATTACAAATCACTGAGGACCCCCATTCGTGACTGGCAGCGTGTGCGCCGTTGCACTTGCGGCAACGTTGACTTGCTTCCCCGCATGCTTGTGGTTTCGTCAAGGCTTCGCGGTTGTTTGCGGAGTTCACGCAACAACATGTCAGTGTTGTTGCGGCTGAATCGCAAATGCCTACGGGAGCCGTCGTTGCAGACATGAGGAACTGCACGTCCGCAAAAACGCTGTCGGAACTGTGAAGTGCACCAGGTGCATTGTTTGGACATGAATCGGATGTGACGTGACGCATTGATACTTGCTGACATTTGAGCGTTGTGCTCATAAACTTATGACATCCCGGTGTCCATTTCACGAGGGCCTGTTCCCAACCCTCGCTCGGAAAGCTCAAGACAATGTCGTCACATTTTTGAGGTATTGGTCGCCTGTGCGTCGGGTTTCGGGTCGTTTGCGCGTCGGGCTTTGGGTTGCTTGAGCATCCCAGGCCCTGTCAGCCAGGCCCTGCACATCGGGGGGCTGGGGCTGCGCTCCCGAGACTTCTCAACTTAGGATCCGCACAGGGGGCCTGTTGCCTACTGTCACTGGTCCGTCTCCCTTTTGTGTTGAGCCGTCACCGACTGTGAATGTCAAAACGTTGATGCGAGGCAAATCCATCAACAGGCGGTCTTTGCGAATGAGAATGAATGACATGAACCAAACCCATCAAACCAAGCAGATGCAAGATATCAAAGGGCATATTTCGATCGAATGGCTCTTGAGAGACACTCGATTGCAGAGCATGAAAAGGCGCTGGCCAGGCAAAGAGAGGATGCCCTCCGGTCTCTGAGCTCGCTGAACAGAGTAGGAGTTGAGAGAGAGGTTTGAATATGCTTCGGGGAACCGAGCGCGCGTGACGCCAATGCAGCCGCTTGGGCCTCCAGATTCCCCAGCTGTGATTCCTGCGAGCGCGGATCATGCGCAAAGAACTGAACAAGCAGCAAAAGAAATCGAAGGAAAAGGATCGTGATACACGCGCCAAAGAGGCTGACAAGATCCTTATTCCCAAGTTCCCTACACCTGAAAAGTACCGTGACTGGAAGATAAAGGTGAGGGACAACATTGCTGCGGGGGACAAAAAAGGGCTGTGGTACACAAAGGGAAACAAAGCAGAATCATCTCAGCCCAGCGTCCAGAAGAGCCATGGCAAACAAAGGGAAGCAAAGGCAACAAAGGATGACAGAGCAAGATCAACGGGACCAAAGCAAACAAAGGCCAGAAATCCTTGTGGCGCAGGGTTGTTTCTATGCAAAGCCTCTCACAGAAAAATTGCTTGGTGAAAAAGGATGAAAAATCCGCCCGCACCGAAGGTGCTGAGGCGTTGTGTAGGCTCGCGCAAACCGCAAGATAGCTGCTGGGTTGATCCGCTTAATGAGCCCTAGCTTGGGGGTGGCCTTTGCATTTTTGGAACAGGGTGTGTTCGCAATGGTTTTTGATGTTTTTTGAAGATTGATAAACATTGATATGGTTTCGGACCACAGGTTCGCGAGACCGGTTACGCCATCCGGGGGAGACTGCATTATCGACATCGGGGAGGCGCATTCGTCCAGGCAGAAGTTTCTTCTTGGGGAAACAGGTGATTGATATCTTGTGTGTGGCCCCGGTGGACAGGTTTGTGGGCGGAAACAGGTCTTCACTTGTGCTTTGCTTCTCTTTGCCTCCTTTGTCTCCCATGGCGCTTCTGGGTGTTGGGCTATGCTGATTTTGCTTTGCTTCTCTTTGTTCTCCATGGCTCCTATTGGGTTCTGGGCTGGGATGACCCTTGTCTCCCATGGCGCTTCGGGTGCTGCTTTGCCTCCCATGGCCCTCCGGTTGCTGGGCTGATTTGTGCCTTCCTGTGCTCCCATTTTGTTTTCCTGGCCCTCCTGGATGCTGGGCTGAGATGACGTATTGTTCCCGAGAGCGCCTGCGAAGGGTTCTTCGTAAAAAAACATCTGCAGAACTACGTCTCATCTACATCTTCACATCTTCACCTCTGTACATCTACATTCTCACCGATATCTCTGCTCATGTTCACATCTGCACATCGACATCTCTGCTCATCTTCACATCTGCACATCTACATCTCCATCTCCGCTCATCTTCACATCCTCACATCTACGCTCATCTGCACATCTACATCTCTGCTCATGTTCACATCTGCACATCTACATCTCTGATCATCTTCACATCCTCACATCTACATCTCACATCTTCACCTCTCGCTCTTCTTTGCTTTCTCTCCTAAGGCCGGGGGCGGTGCCGCCGGAGCACCACGAAACGCAACCCTCTGCGGAGATCGTGCGTGTCGAGGGCGCGAAATGCAGGCGAGAGTGCGTTTTGGACCGGTCGCGGGCAACCCTCTGAAGTCTGAAGCGATCGTGCGTGTTGAGGGCGCGAAGTGCAGGCGAGAGTGCGTTTTGGATTTGGCGCGGGCAACCTTCTGCGGAGATCGTGCGTGTCGAGGGCGCGAAATGCAGGCGAGAGTGCGTTTTGGGCCTGTCCGGCGTAACCCTCTGCGGAGATCGTGCGTGTCGAGGGCGCGAAATGCAGGTGATATTGCGTTTTGGGCCGGTCCGGCGCAACCCTCTGCGGAGATCGTGCGTGTCGAGTGCGCGAAATGCAGGTGAGAATGTGTTTTGGATTGGTCGCGCTCCATTTTTTGGAGGAAGTCTCGTACGAAACGCTCGTTTTGGAGACTTGGCGCTTCACTTTTGGAGGAAGTCTCGTA